CCACTCACTAACTGATTTTGCCCATCGGTTGCCGTTCATTCGTATTACGCGTCCGGCCCACCTTGTCCTCGACTGTTTGGCGTACAGAACGGCTTCTTTGATTTCTGATCGTTGACGCAGGTCGAAGCTTCGGATTCGTTTCCTTACTTGTGTGACATGGGACACTGCTAGCATCATCGTTTCGTCTGCGCGTTCAGTAACGCTGAGTAACCTTTCGTGCTGCTACCGCATCGACCAGGATCCTCACGCAACGGTGAATTTTGGAGGGTCGAAAAGGCTGGAACGGAGCCGGCTGTCTATTGTTCTTCTCACTACATTCTCGACGCTCTTGAAAAGAACGCGAAATATCGCCACATATCTCTTCAAATCAATATTACCGCTTATTGTTTCTTCATGCTCTGCTTCCCTGCAAGATAGCATTACTGTGGAGGCTCTGAAGAGTACGCAATCCACCGAGGACTGAACTGTACAATATGCCATGCCAGTCCACCACAACTTGACCTCTACAAGCAATGCCAATTAGGAAGAAACTCTATCGTATAAGTCATAGACGATAGAAATAGTCAACGACAATGTAAAAAGCTTCCCATTAGATAGAGAAAATCTTAGAATCTATTACAAAATATCTTTCTTCAAGGCCTTGAAGATGCTCGATAAGTCCCTAGAGCGAACAGAACCCACTGGGCTACTCTTGCACGAGACAGGAAAAAATGGAAAATTTACTGCCCGCTCGAATCACTCGAAGATCAACGGAACTACAGGTGATAGAGGTGATTACAAAATATGTATATTAGTGAAATACCACCAAAATAGTGCCTAGATATTTGCCAAACGTGGACCCCGGTCAGACCGAACTGCGGTTACCCTTTGTGGATGCTAATGTGTTACCCATGGCACCACTGGGGTCCTCGCTCTGCACTTCTCTTATCCAGTCTTTTTACCCCCACGGTGCTATCAGCACACTCAATACTTTGTCGTGAAGAAAAATTAACAGCCAATAAATAAAAGTTATGTATTGTAAATTCGACTACAGCCTCAGTTTAACTGGGTTTAATGTCGACTTGTGCTCCCCAGACCATTCCCACTGACGCGCAATTACTAACGGCAGCGTTGGATGGAAAATTGGCAGAAAGAAAGGCAGAACGAGGTCCTCTGTGGTGCAGTGGGTTACACATGAGCCATCGGCAAGGATATTCTCGGCTCGATTCGGCCACCTCTTATGATGGTTTTGCAATTACCTCAACAATAGTGGTACTATTTTACATAATGTTATCTTCCTGTGAATTACTAGATCTACCGACCCAGATAGACATAACTGGAACATTCAGGGATATTGGTTCCGTTGAGCGTGAATGGGGCATACGAAATCAATCCGTTGCTCATGAACATCGTTTTTGTGAGATTTAGTCGAAAACCAATTTTTCCACAGGCTTTATTAAAACCGGCAAGCAATCGTTCCGATTGTCTAATATTAGGTGTTATATCACCAGCATATCGTCAGCAAAGCGGAAATGGTGTAATTGCCGACCATCGATTTTCACTCTCATGTTGTCCCATTCCAATGTTCTGATGAAGTTCTCGAGGACGGTGGTGAATAATTTTGGCGAGATGGTAACGCCATGTCTAACCCCTCTTTTGACGTCGATGTTAGAATGGTGATATTTTGACTGTGAAATCTTTATACAGCTCACGAAGAACCTTTATATATTGGGTAAGGGATCCCTGTTTGTCCAGAGCTTCCACGACTGCTTCTATCTCAATTGAAGCAAAAGCCTTCATTAAGTAAATGAAAGTGAGACAGAACGGTCTTTTGTACTCACGCGACAATGAGTCTTGTTATTGTTTGGATGTGGCCCATTCGACTGATTCCTATTCGAAACCCTACTTGCTCACATGGCTATCCTTCGTCCAGTGTTCTGTCAATCCTGTTTAGGAATACTCGAGTGAAAGGTTTGTAGACGACAGACAGTAAGCAGATTGGACGATAGTTGCTGATATCGTGGAGAGGACACCCTTCTTGAACAATGACACAGTCTTGTTGCTCTTCCATTCTGTAGGAGCCTAGCATTCAGGTAGGGAATGTGTCAACAGCAGAGTCAGTGTGTTCGTGAGTACTGGCAGAATGTTCCCCAGGCATTCAGATCTTATCCTGACCCGAGGTGGTGTTGTTCGATTTTTCACCGACGAAATAGCATGTCGGATTTCGGAAGGTAGAACCGGTGGTACGGCAAGTCCATACTCCTTTATTTCATATGAAGGCAGCAGGGTGTGGTTATTACAGAGATCCGAGTGGTTATCGGGAGTGACTTTCTCTATTGCTTTTCTCTATGCTGCGACTTTTCCATCCGGGCGTCGGAGTGCAGCTATTCAGGCTTATAATTGGCGAAGTTTCGGTGAGTTCTTCGAACGCTTTTCCTAGTCTCTGTAATAGAGACCGCAACTGCAGCGCTTCTCTCATTGGGATCTTCTTTTATCACCTCCCTGCACTGCTTTTCAAGTTCAAGTGGTGCTTTTATGTAGCCGGTGCCTCAAATTTGCTGTGCTGCATTCTACTTCTCAATGACACTCTGGATTTAGACAACTGAACGTTGAAAATGGGATTTCTGAAATTGCGGCTTACCATGAACGATCCTGGCCGTCATGATAAACTCGGACAGCTGCTCACCATGTTGGTCCCATTCTTATCTAGCTGTCCCCAATGTTCCGTTNAGAGACCGCAACTGCAGCGCTTCTCTCTTTGGGATCTTCTTTTATCACCTCCCTGCACTGCTTTTCAAGTTCAAGTGGTGCTTTTATGTAGCCGGTGCCTCAAATTTGCTGTGCTGTATTCTACTTCTCAATGACACTCTGGATTTAGACAACTCAACGTTGAAAATGGGATTTCTGAAATTGCGGCTTACCATGAACGGTCCTGGCCGTCATGATAAACTCGGACAGCTGCTCACCATGTTGGCCCCATTCTTATCTAGCTGTCCCCAATGTTCCGTTCTTCAGAGTTTTCAGTACAATTTAGTATTCAATTCTCCAGTGACGACCTTAACGTGTGAATGCTCTTTTCTGTAGAACTGCTCCAAGTCGATATTGAGCACTTTGACTTTGTCCTCGTCATGGTTTGATGTCGCTGAGTAGATGACGAAGTTGTTGATTCCGGTATTGATCCACATACCCTCAACCGTGAACGTACAATTCGGGTTGTTGGTTGTTTCAAATAATCAGTATTCGTGGGCCTCACGAAGTTAAGCCTTAAGATTATCACTAATATTTTAAAAGTGAGAGAGGCATATTGCCTATCCATGTGAGCTTTGTGTGATCGGTATCCGCATTAAGTACTCAGCGGAAGACTCACAGAAACTGATGATTGTACGAAGAGGTCTTCTTGTTTTTAATGTGATTGAAATCTTGATTTTGCGTTTTTTCTGCTTTCTTTATGGAGGTGTTCGGCTGGGTAGATTTTAGTCAACTTGACCTCTCCAGGCTCCGAAGAAGGCGAAATCGGCCGGAGCGTCAGTTGTTATGCGTGCTGATCAAGAAATTTGCGACCTGTTCCTTTCTGCATTTTCATTGATCACGTTAGATGTCACAAGTTGCACTTTATGGCTGTGTACCTATTCCTTAGCATGTTTACCACTTTCCTGTATCGACCTAGCACTACAACCATCTTCATACAAAATTTGCACCCTTTCTTCTTTACTGTCGCATCCTATGTATTTATGTATTGGTGCTCAGCAAAGTCTGGAATCCCCTAAGCTCCTCCTCTCCTTAGATCCGCTATTGATCGGTGATTGAATAGCAATATCATATCCCACTTCCACGGTTGCGCGTGGAGCAGTGATCCGAATAGCCCTCCAACACACACGTGGGATCGATTCCCGCGCCCATGGCCCACCAAGCCTTGCATCCTTCCGCGGTCGGCAAATTGGTACCAGACTTTTCTGGAAGGATAGCAGCACTGGCTCGATATATCGGTAGGCCACAGCGAGTCATTGTCAAGGTCAGACATGCATTCAATGACCTCCAAACGATGCTTAAAGAAGTCGAATGCGTGGCGCATTCCTCATGGATTGATCAACGCCGATAGCTTCACCCTTTGTCCCACTTCTGCTCGTTCATATTTCTTATCTATCATATCACTTTAACACTATTGCATAAGATATTTTATCATTGCTTGTACTGCTTATTGTTCTGTACATTATCTCTATCTACCGGTTAAGTTTTTGCCTATTTCCTCACCTTTAAGGCCCCATTATCACCATTTCGCTGTTGTTTTAGCATTATCGTTATATAATTACGCCAGTATGAGATNTGGTGTAACAACAGCAACAAAAAGAACCGCATCAGGGGAAGTACCGCACAAAGGAGCTGGCTTCACTATAGGTCGTGTAAATTAAAAATAACCGTTGCAGATTTTGCTAAGATGTTCTGATAAACATAAGGAAGAAATCCTCAAGCTACAGATAATCAGCGTCCAGTTTATAGATTTACGAACATTTGAAGAGCGCGTTTCGTCGTGATTTTCACGGTGGTAATCGTGATTGTAATTGGTAGACGATTTAGAAGATTTATCACAGGGCATACAATGATAGACTTTTATCACTACACATGCTGTACACTCAACATACAGTGCTAGTATAAAGATATGTTGTTGTAGGGTAGATGTTAGAGTATGAGCATCCATTGGTTAGTAGTCGTTAACCCATACGAAGTGGACTGAACGCAACGACCATCTCACATAGTCATATTTCAGTTAAGAAATTGAAAAAAGAATATTTAGACATGTAGTATACATTTTTGAAGAAAACTTTCGGATGGCATCGAAACAAGCATAGTCTGCATGCTCTTTTAGTAATCCCTTCAGTAATTGTTAAAGATTTATCCAATTTGGTCACTGATCTATGAATACACGTTCTAGATGAAGAACATCGAATATCCAGAAGATATTTTTTTTCCGATTTTTAAAAGACAGATCGTATTAGTACAATGTGACAATTCTCATGTGCCCTTCAGTGGTCGGTGCGCCAAGAACTTCCTAGGAAACTCTTCTCATTTTTCCGTTTGAATCGTGTTCTTCTGTGATTGTTCCTCATATGCTGAACAAGGTCGGCAGTTAGTCGGAAAGCTGAGCCGCAGATAGCACAGCAGTTCTCGTTCACGGTCTCGCCGCCTAGTGCCGCCTGAATCAAAGGATTCGCTGAACCACCACAACCAGACATTGATGACGTTGCGGATGTGGTCTGCAGAAGAGCTGCAACAACGAATTTCTCTTCCAATTTGTAGATTTTACTATAACGTTATAAATGTGATAATGAAAGCAATTACTATGTGCAGCAAATCCTAGGACCAACTTCCTTTTAAGCTTGGCATTGATCAGTAATTCACTGTTTTCTTGATAACCAAACACGAAGCTGTTATTACAATACTTGTTCACAATTGCTGTCGCGTGGGCGGCTTCGCTTTCTTTAGCTCATGGAAAATTCAATTTGACACGAAATCTACTCAGTGAGACGCTTTTATTAACTCGGCGTTCAAAACTTAATACATAAATTCCATTCACATAGCAACCGGTTTTTGTTAAGCACTCATCATTTTGTGAAACAACTACAATGATGCTGAGATATTTACAAAACTCCGGACCGCAGGTGTCTGCGGTGAGGAACGAACGCTTTATTGTCCTTTCCGGGTAGTAGCGCGTTCACCGCCATACCATGGGGGTCCTTCGTTCCGCCTGTCTCTCAGCTAGTTTTATCGATCTTTTGCCAACAGCAATCACCCGTCAACGGGATTGATCTGGGAAGCCCAAATCGGCATTGAACCCAGTTAAGCTGAGGCTGTAGTTGAAATTCACAATGTTCACTTTTTATTTACTGCTTTTACAAGTTTTGCTAATGATTGCTGATTGCAAGGGTGATTGCTGATGGCAGTGATCGATAGAACTAGCTCAGAGACAGGCGAAACGAGGCTCCCGCATGGTGTGGTGGTGAACGCGCAACTCCCGGAAAGGACAATAGCGCGTTCTTTCCCCACCGCAGACACCTGCGACCCGGAATTTTGCAAATATCTCAGCATCATTGTAGTTGTTTCACAAATAATACTCTGCCGTGAAAAGTTGTAAAAGGCAGGAAATAAAAAGTGAACTCGTCGTTTTTTTGTTTGTTATTTGGTGCAGACCTGCCGCACAGAAACTTAAAGTATCTCGCGAGGTCATTGGTAATCACAAGACGTTCATGCTTGTAGTTTATTTTTGGATTTCTGAAATTTACCAAAACTCCTCAAGTGTTTTGTGTGCAGATGTTTGGATTCCTTTGCGAGATAGCGACTTTCTCTTAAGGATCTTCACCATTTCTTCTTTTTATCCTATGCGTACTTAGTGGGGTGCTTGGTCTAACTTCAGATTTTGCGACTAGGAGTTCTCTTACGCGGACGCCAATTATCAATCCGTTTCGATAATATATTGTGTCGCGGCTTAACAAGAGACCAGACAAAGCGTTTCCCAACTCATGCAGTCACCGTCGCTTTCATTTTGACGGCTTACGCAACTTTGCACTTTACGTAGATGGTCATACAGGCAGTTACGAACTAGCTGGCTTGTGAAAGCGTCCGGTAGTATCTCAGTCCTTATTACGGAATTCATTCGTGTCTAGTCCCTTCTCAACAACAATTTGTAGCTGCATTTATTTCGTTGGAAATGGTGTGCAGGATAAGCGAGATCTTATTCACACTAGAATTATAATTTGATAGCGTGGTTTTCCCTCACGCCTACACCGAGGAGCAATGGTTTCGTCGCCATTGGAAATGCTTGTTCTTTTTTTCTAAATGTCCAGTTTAGTTTATCCAAAAGCAGCTATATCACCAATTCGTAGCAAAGGCCTAGTAACGAAAGCATAATGGTTTATTACCTCTTCCCACTCCTCACACACCAAAAGGGCGCTGGTAAAAAAACACGTATCGAATTGCCACCTGTATGTGCACAGAATGAGAGCAGAAGAAGGAATAACTAAAATTGGCTAAGCAGATATCCATTACCAATGAATTCAAAGCTGCTGATCTTCGAGTTAGGTGGCAAGGAAAAACCACGTTACCAAACAATAATTCTAATGAGGATAAGGTCCTGCTCATCCTTCCCATTATTTCCAACGAAATAAGTGCAGCTATAAAATGTTCGTTAAAAAAGGTCTATTTAGAGAATTCCATAACAGGAATTGAGATACCACCGGACCCTCTCACAAGCCGGCTAATCCTTAATTTCCTGCATGGCATTCTATGCACAATACAAAATTGCATCATATGCCCCATCGGTAGAGACGGTCGCATTGAGTTCGGATGTGATTTATCTGATCTCTTGAAAATGTGCGGCGAAGAATATAGTGACCATACGAGTAGGCCACTGTGGATCTGTATGAAGGAAAACTCAGTCCGTAAGTTTAAAGGTAGACCAACACTTCAATAAACCACCAACCAGCACATTGGAAACAGATATATTATGATGATTTTGAAATACAAGCTGCCATTATCGCACTGGGATCGAAAACATCAACTCTTAAAACTCTTGAAGTGTTTTCGACAAATTGCAAGAATCCAGAAATGAAATGGAACGAAAAGTGTCTTATGATCACATGTGACCTAGTGCCATACCTCAGGCTGATTTTTGACCTGAGTCGGACACATCCCTCCCCATGTAGGACTCAGTGCGACTGGTTTCCCTAACCTGGGCACTTATAACGAATAAGAAATTGGGTGTTTAAAAAAACCTGTTTATTATGAGACTGACGATTTGTGCGCTAATC